TATCATACTTTTATCGATGTATACTGATTCATTTTCATCTATTAGTCCTCTGACCTTTCTTTAAAGGCACATTTTTAAAAATATATCAACATAAATACACCAGACATTGCTACAAATGGTTTAAATATCAGTTCTGTGTGTAATTATGTACTGTGACACCTATTTAAAGTGAAACCCGATACAGTGAAATTCTGCTTTTAGTGACATTGACTGAAAGTCCCAAATAATTTAATTGCTTTTGAATGCATAAATTATTATTCATACTATAGTAATTTTTCTTCCCTCCTTTGCCCCTACCCCACCATAGGGAAGAAGGGGAATGAAAAATAGGCTTTACTATGGGAAGGTTCATTGTACAGGAGTTTGATCCTCAGGAGGTGTAAATCAATGAGGATCTATTGACTTCAGTGGATCTATGCATATTGATCTTGCTGACGATTTGGCTCTACAATTTCCTGTGGTCATCATTACCAAAAGGTGGTATAGGCTGATGTAATGAAGAATTGCAGTGCTGTCTTTGGCTATTATTTGTATGTGAAGATAATCAATAATCACAGATTTACTTAAGCAGTTATTATAGCTCTTTTGTACATATTGTGCTATACTGTCAAAGGGAGGGTAGGCAGGGTTGCAAACATAGCAGCTCTAAAAATATGGGCATGCCAGATACCCATGTTTGCATGCTCAACCATGCAATCAGGCAAGTGTGCACATTATCATAGGAGAAGATACAGTTGTCCAATTTGCTTACACAAATGCAGCTTTCAGAGGCTGCGGATAAATATTTTGGTAGCCACACCTCTCGCACCTGCATTTGAAAATTTGTTCCCTAATGACTCAGCAACCTTGATTGGATGTATTTGGATGTAATACATGCCCTTCCTTGTTCACTTAACTATTATTACCATCATCATTATTATTATTATAGCACCTATGACTCTTAGTCATAGACCAGGACTCCCCTCCACAGACCAAGTGCTATACAAACATAGACTAAAAAGATGTGCTATTATAGAGAAGTGGGCTAGATAACCTAGGAACCTTATCTTCCAATTCTACCATGATATTTAACTAGTTAAAAGTTAAATGAGTTGATTTTCAAAGATGTGTTGTTGGATTTGTATATGTTCAGAAGTTTGCACACAGTGCCTTATTTGTACTCACATTTCAACTATTATACGTGTAAATCAAGGTTTTGCTAATGAAAATGGCAGATTATGCAGCTAGCCGACCAATATAATGTGCAAATACCTATTTCACACTATTGGCTGTGTCTAGACTGGCAAGTTTTACCACAAAAGCAGTTGCTTTTGCGGAAAAACTTGCTACTGTCTACACTGACCACTTGAATTTCCGCAAGAACACTGACTTCCTACTGTTTGAAATAAGTGCTTCTTGCGGAAATACTATGCTGTTCCCATTTGGGCAAAAGTCCTTTTGCGCAAAGCTTTTGAGCAAAAGGGCCAGTGTAGACTGCTATGATTTGTTTTGCACAAAAGCGCGTCTAGATTGGCATGGACGCTTTTCCGCAAAAAGTGTTTTTGCGGAAAAGCATCTGTGCCAATCTAGACGCTCTTTTCCGCAAATGCTTTTAACGGAAAACGTTTCTGTTAAAAGCATTTGCGGAAAATCATGCCAGTCTAGACGTAGCAATTGTGTAAATACAAATTTACTGTAGAGTTTTGAAAAATGAGGACATAAGAATTTTAGCTAAGTTAGTTAACATTTTCTGGAGTGTTACCTATTCCTTTAACCTTTATCAGTATTATTAGGAAAGAAAATAATGTGAACGATAAAACTGGCAAATAATAACACAGAGCACTAAAATATTTTGATATCTTAAATAACTGTATAATCATTAAATATTATTACAGATTTAAAAAGACAAACATAGATATCCAAAACCAGAACACCTATAACAAAGGTGCCTTCTGGTGCAAGTGTTTGGCAATATACGGATTGCTCCAGTTTACAAAACTGCATATAATTATGAAGGACCACATCATCTAACAATTCTAATGACATATTTCAACACAAGTAATATCTGAATATTTAGGTTATGGCTAAGTTATCCCCAGTAATTAAAGAAATTGGATTTATAGTCAAGTCTAAATCCAGGCTCATGGGTAACACTTGCTAGCTATCTCTGAAAGGCTATAACACAAAACATAACATGAGACCTCCCTACTGACAATGATAGGTGAAGGAAAGATAATACAGGAATGATGTGATGTCCATTACTAACAACTGAAGAATGGGCCTGATTCTCCTCAATTAGGGATTGATCTTGCTCCCATTGAAACCCATAAGAAGTTTGCCGTTGATTTCAGTAATATTGGGATTAGATTCTTATGGCACTGTTAAATCAGGAATATCTCCAATGAAATTGAAGGGGTTATAATAGTGTCAAATTGGTGCAACTGAGAGGAGAATCATGCCCCTTACCTCTGTTTCATACATATTCATTTCTTTTCTACTCTATTTCTATAGCAGGATGCTAAATAGAGCACTTTTGCTAATCATTAGCATATCATTCACATCTTCTTCATGATTCTAAATCAAAACTCATGTCATGCCCTGCCAAATATTAGATGGGGCAAATACTCTGTCCTCTCTAGTTTTCAGTGTCCGTCTCCAACTTCTGCTTCTTCTAGTGTAAAATGAACTAAAATCAATCACACTGCTTCCTTGATGTGTGTGCACACTGGAGTTGTGAAGTCTGCAGATTTTTTCTCAAGTAGTGTTAAAGGTCATACATTTCTTCAAGGGCAAAAAGACTAAAAAAAGCCACTCTTTTGTGAATGAACTGATTACATGAACAATCTGTTCAACTTTTCCTGAGAGAGTTTTGATTCTATAATGGAAAAAGTCCTGTAAAATATAATAGAAAATAAAATACAGATAGTTGAACCCTCCTCCCCATAGAACTGAATTGAGAACAATATGCATCTTGTGAAGGATTTTTATATGGGGGATTGTTATTTTATTAAATTCTAAAAGTCTTGGAAAAGTGCTATATAAGAGCTAGGTTTTATTTATTATTTTCAAATCACTTTGTGTAGAGCTCTGTTAAGTTTCTATAAAACCTCTTCATAAAATCTCTATTAATCCTAAAAAATATTTTCCGTAAGTGTTTAGTCACATAAGTATTTATGTTTAAATATAATATTGGCCATCAGCACAACAACAACATACAGGGAATTATACTGATGTGCATACAGGTTGAACCTCTCTAGTCCAGCACCCTTGGAATCTGACTTGTGCCAAACCAGAGAATTTACCAAACCACATGAGGTCATTATTGTCTAGAAACATTATCAACACTTCTACTGATTAGTGGGCTCTTAGATGACATTTAGGGGTAAATAAGCAATAAATAACAGCACATAATACTGAGAGCCAGGCCTGGTAGCTATAAATAAATTTTATGGGACCATGGGAAACTTGGCCACACCTATGGAAAGTGGATATCCGGCTACCTAAAATTGTGCCAGACCACTGATATTGCCGGACCACCGGTATTGCCAGACCAGAGAATGCCAGACTAGAAAGGTTCAACCAATCCTACATTCCAGCATACTTAATATCCAATACTGCTCCCATTGATTTCTGTGTGGTGAGATCAAGTTCTTATTGAATAGCAATGTTTCAAATAGTTTTGTAGCCACTTGGTGCTGTCCAGTGAACATCTCTTTTCCTTGTCATCTTCAGAGTAGACCAGATTTTATTTTGTATTATTTCTTGCCACCAGTAAAAGTGAGTGGAAGATAAGAAAAGAAAAAAATGATAGCAAATGCTGGTTTAAAAATAATGCCCTTTACCACCATTTTGTTTCTAAAATACAATGTCCTTTTTTTTACAATTTTATTATTGCAGAAGTTTTGAAGATTGTGGGTTTTATGAATAAAAATGTTAATTCATGTATCTGCAGACACATACGGCAGCTTATGCTCATAAGCCATTCTATTTCAGTTTACTGGCATGTTTCCCCTTTTAAACATATAGTTATACATCAATCTGATTTAGTTAACAAATTATGTAGTTCCAATAGCAAATGATTGGAGTAAATTAATTCACTCACATTGCTCTTATTATAGTCATCATGGACAGGCTTCTAGACATGATATTGATATAAATAATACTGGGAAACTATACAGATACCTAACACTAGTGTTTCTGTACAATAGTAATCATTTTGAATTTGGTCCAATGCCCACTGAAGTCAGTAGGAGACTTTGTCAACTTTAATGGGCTTTGGATCAAGCCTTTTTGTGCACAACCTCCCATTTCTTTCACATTAAAATCATGCTTGTCATTATTGTCACAGAGCATTTTCCCTTCGAAATCTATTCAAAGGAGACTTCACAGGACATTCCAGTAGTTTATGACTTGAAAATCAGATTTGCCTGGAGTGTATTTGTGTGTGTCAATAATCTTTAGAAGCTTGTTATATTGCAGAGGGAGATTTTAGCTCTTAAATTGCCTTTCTAAAAATAGGATTTATGTTTTTATAGTTAATAGGCAATTAAATAATAATATAATTATGCATCTAAATAGCAACAAAACAGTCAAGAAAGGAAATGTTGGGTTTTTCATAATCAAATTTTAAAGCTGTGTTTCTAAGGTGAGGAAAATGGTAAAAGCATATTTAAAACAACATTGTATATTGGTAATGTTTCATAGCTTGAAGTAAAAAATCCACAGAGGAAGGTGGTAATATTCAGAATGAAGAAAGCATGATATAATTTAAAACATTGATAACACTAATAAAGCACAACTACAAGCAAAATGATTAGGGTATCTAGTGTAAGCCAAGAGGCAAGCCCAGCTATTTGGATAGTCGTTAGCCAAAAATACAGTAAAATCTACTGAAAACCCACCTGCAATATTCAACTTCTGTCTCATACACCATTTTTGAAAGACCTGGATCAGGTCCTTGACAGATAAATTAAGGCAAGTTTCTCTTTACACACCATCAAAACCATCATTAACAAATATTTGTTTGTGACCCACCGAATGGCTTGATATTAAGTTGTTGAGACTGGACAAGTGTAGCTCTTGAACCAACTAAGGGCCTGTGGAACTCTGGCAGTTTGCTGAGGCTATCCTTTGGACTTCATGGTGAAGGCATGTAATTGTTTTAGATGTAGGCCAATGGACAGATTGGGGAATTCACAGAGTGGCCTTGGCAACCAGCTAAGGGTCTGAGCCAGTGCTCACTGAAGTCAATGGAAAGAATCCCACTTATTTGAATATGGGCTAAAGGCACAGAGGTAGCTTACTGAGCAATTCAGCTGTATCTGACAGTCTTAATTTCCCATCTTTCTATCAATTAGTGCTAAAACCATGAATGGGATACTTTGAATACCTGAACACTAATTCCAGAGGAGTTTATATTTTGATCTCATATGTTTATAGACATGCATATTATTAAAACAAAAAGAGCAATGGTCTCTGTTTTACAAAAAAAAGGCAAGTACTTTATTTATCAATAGAATTACCAGCTGCTTTTTACACCATTGCCATGACTATACAAATAGCATAAAATAAATAAAGGAGAGTATAAAACCACGTTACTCCAGTTGGTACCCCTGGACAATTCTTTGACTAAAAACAGAGTTAGATGTTGCAAATATGGCACTTATATGAATAAGAGCAGAGAGAAGATGACATATTCACAGTTAAAAGCAACAAACTCTGTTCCTTTGGTATATTTGCCAGATGACCATAGGTTACTTACGTTAATTAGTTCCATCTTATTTATACACATCAGGATAAGTTTTGAAAACATACTGACAAATTTGGTAGATTCCCAACTAGCATAAGATGATTAAGGTCACTGGTGTGAACAGACAGGCAAACAAAAATGGCAAAATTATGTTCAGCATGATTGTGTTGTGTAATTGTTGTACAAAATGATGTTAGAAAATAGCTAATAATATACACCAGCAATAAATTCTGTGGCTGGGACAGACAAAATAACACCAGACATCCTTGAGGATGCAAGTGCACAGACCTATTGGTTGGGCTTCTGGTCAGGTGCTTACCAGTGCAATTAACCTCCTTTGAAAATGTGCTTGCAATTGTATATTACAGAATTCCCCTGTACATACCCCGGAAAACAGCATCCTTGTAATTTTTTTAGCTATAATCATTCTACATGCGATTACAACAATAAATCAGACAGTCCCGCCTGTAATCTCATCTTAATGATGACCAAAAAACTACTCCATTCAAGAGATAATATTGGATCATTAGAAAACAGTAACTGTACTGTAAGGCCAGATCAAGCATGGTTTTACAGCTTTTCCTTCAGTCTTTTACTTAGCACTGCATTTTGCACCTAGTTCAGTAAGTGCAGTCCCAATACCTTAGTGGCTTTCTTGGTGGTTTGCTAAAATGCTTGCCTCAGCAATGTACCTTTCCCTAATGTCTGGGTCAGTTCCACCTGGCAGAGTGTTTCAGTTCTGTCACAGCCTCACACATAGGCTGAGTCACTCGACTGAGTCCTGCCAAAGTTCGGCACGCTCATTCTTGGCAAGTCCTTGTTTCTGATTTCGTATATGGATTTCCTTTTCGCTTGTACTCCTCTCACTGCCATTTTAATCTTTCTCCAGCCCAAGTGATTCAGTTCTGCCAAATTGAGCACCACACAAATCCCACTCACTGCAAACATGAACACCAAGAAGACAGTCTTCTCCGTGGGTCTGGAGACATAGCACTCCACTTCTTTAATGCAGGGGTACCTATCACATTCATACATGGAAGGGACGTTGAATCCATACAGGAAATATTGTCCCACTAGGAATCCGATCTCCAGGGCATTTCGGAAAACTACCTGGATGATGTAAAACCTGGAGATGCCTTCCTGCCGCCTCATCTTTGACTTTGTCGTTCGGAGGGCGGGGTTGGGGATTTCCTTCACCTCCAAGCAGTCCGGCTCGGCTTCCTTGGTGGAGTTCTCGGTGTTCTGCAGCACTCCGTTGACAATGGTGTTCTTGATCTTCTTGCTGTCCTCGCGTTTCATTGAGTCCTGGTCCCTGTCCAAGGCGAGGAAGACAGTGGAGTATCTCCTCTCGCGCTGCTTAGCAGACTGGTGCACAGAGTAGGTGATAAAGCAGAGGCTGGGCGTGCAGACCATGATGATCTGGAACACCCAGTACCTGATGTGCGAAATCGGGAATGCCTGGTCGTAACACGCCTGGTTGCAGCCTGGCTGCAGCGTGTTGCACACAAACATGGTTTGCTCGTCATCGTACACCGTTTCTCCCACGATGGCCACGATGAGTATCCGGAAGATCACCACCACGGTCAGCAGGATTCTGCAAGAGAAAAGTTCCTCAGTGCACGCCGGCGCTTCCCGGAACCACCGCAGACAGCAGCAGGGCTGGGACTACTCGCGGGGAGCTGTCCGGTGCTGATCGTCCATGTGCACAGAGCTCGCCATGCAAGTGGCAAAGGATTTGGGGTTAGGCTACACGGAAAGTGCCCGCACGAAGCTTGTCCTGCGTGAGCCAGGCTACACTGTAACACACACACACACACACACACACACACACACACACACACACCACTGCAACAGCCAACCCATACAAGACCCTCGGACCAAGGGGTGACTAGCTGAACCTGACTTTCCCCAGGCGCAGATCGCTGTCAATATCACCCTCCCTGCCCCCCTCCCCCGACCCACCCCACAGGAGCCGCATTCAAACGCTTCTCCAGAAGAGCCCCGGGCGGGGACAACTTCCTGATCTACTCCCCAGGCAGCCGGAGGAGCTGGAGACGCTTGATGGCTGAAGTTTGCTCCAGTTGGGAGCATTTCCCCCCTCGGCCAGCCCCGGCACAGGGCTCCTTAGGACAGCGCCTCCCCCTTGGGCCCGGGCACATGGCAGAGGAAAAGACCAGCTGCTCTGCCCGTCCAGAAGAGCCCCGGGCGGGGACAACTTCCTGATCTACTCCCCAGGCAGCCGGAGGAGCTGGAGACGCTTGATGGCTGAAGTTTGCTCCAGTTGGGAGCATTTCCCCCCTCGGCCAGCCCCGGCACAGGGCTCCTTAGGACAGCGCCTCCCCCTTGGGCCCGGGCACATGGCAGAGGAAAAGACCAGCTGCTCTGCCCGGCTCGCCCCGCACAGACCGGCTTAGGCTGGGTCCCTCGCCTGCCCCGCTCACCTCCCTATCATAGTCGAGTGCTGCTGCACAGCCGCCTCCAGGAGTCTCTCTAGGATGGTCCATTCCCCCATCGCTGCTCATCCGGAGACAACTTTAAGTAGTCTCTGCTTGCGTCACAGCCAGCTGGGGGAGAGCAGCCAGCAGCGGCGCTGGGATTTCTGCGGGTCTTAGGGAGGGCAACAGACACAAATCACTGGCACTGGGGGAAGAACTGCCCGGCTCTGGGCAGAGAGTCACATTGCCACCCGGGCATCCCGGATCATCTGGGCTCCCTGGGGAAGCCCGCCGCGAGCAGCTAGCCCTGGGCAGGCGGGGCAGGGGGGTTTTCCAGCCACCCTGGGATTAAAACGGC